ATGGCTGGGCAGAGAGAGGAATATAAGGCGGAAGGAGACAGAAGCTCAGGGCATTCAGTCTGAGATTTCCTAGACACAAGATGGCCCAATTGGTCAGAAGATTCCATAAAGGTAAGAACTAGTGCCTGATTACTCTGCTTCTCTGATCTTTCAACATTAACCCCTATACCTGACTCTGGGTTTTTACAATTAAGATGTATTAGAATTTGTACTACATCCCATGGCCATGATCCGTCTTCACAGCAATAGTAAACCCTAACTAAGACACAAGCACTATTACCCACCGAACCGTCTCACCCAGCCCTTATGATCATTGCTGAATCACATCATTTTTTCCCTATGTTGGTTTAACAAATCATTTCTGCTTTCATCATTTAGTAGTTTCTCCCCACCCAATTCTCCCCCCCCCTCCCCAGCCACTTCTGAGGTGCTACACAATAAAGAATGTGTCACAGCCTTCTCTGTGTGTGCTGCAAATGTGTATTTCCAAAATGGATCTCTCAGCCCTTTATTGTTCCCAGGCACTGTGGAGTCACTGATCTCTGGACTGAATGAGTCATTTGCCTCAGGGTCTGTATCGTTCCCCATTCCACCATGGTCAAGATGACATTCCTGATATTAACTAGAATGTGTGTTCCCGGGGTCACCGTATTTCAGCCAGACTTGGTGGGAAACAGTTTCCCCAGTGGGAAAACATCTGTTTTCTGGCCACCAGGCGCTTGGGCTATCTGTTGGGCACTCTCCCTGAAAAGTGCAGTCAGTACTCCTAAGAGCCCAAAGTTCTGAAGAGATTGGAACCTTTCATGCTATCTTTTTCTCCTGAGGAAAGAACCTGGGGGGGGGGGGGACTCATAAGAGGATGGGTACCATCTGAAATAAATTTGCATTAAGTTGAATTAAGTACCCATGTTACTGCCCCAGTGTAGTGGGTGTGGTGTCTGTCTGGACTACACTATGAGACTTTGTTTCAAAACAACCACAGTGACTAAAACAACAAAACTGCTTCAGTGTTACTGCAATACCATAGTTGCCCTGAAAATTATGTTAAGGACCAAAGAATTCCATATTGTGGATGACTGGATCTCAAAATGAGCCAACTTTGCAAGGCTGGTTCTTAGGGTCTTGCTGCACAAGTGTGGTCCCAGGCCCAGCAACTTCAACATTTCCTGGAACGCTGTTAGACTCATGCATCAGCCCTGACCAGGCCTACAGCTCGGAGCCTGCAGCTTGGATAGATCCCCAGATGGTAGAGCTGAGAAATACTTTCTTTTTCTTTTCGTAGTGCTGGGAAATGAGGCGGTCCCATGCTAGGCAAATGCTCTGCTAGCCCCCAACATTTGTTTAAAGCCATGCTATCAGCTCTAGCTTACTCATCAGAATCTCCTTTGGAGACTGGACGGTTCTCATGGATGCTCAAGCGCAGTTCCCTAAAGGCTGTGACTCAGAGTGATTGGGGGTGGGGTGGGGACACTGGATTTGTTTAGAAGTTCTCTAGTGGTTCAGAACTGACAAGAATCTTCCAAAACTTCCTTCTAATAAAGCAGAACTGCTCAAACTTTTTCTAAGTCTGAGGGCTTGATTCTGCATTTCTTAATTGTTACATAGCGTGGCTAACAAATGGAAGAACCTATCTGCGGATGCCACTGGGTGGGAAAGAGTTTGCCTATCATGTGTGAGCCTCTAGGCATAATTCCTCAGCACTACAAAAATATCTAAAACCCTATGGAAGGGATGTATTTGTGTGTGTGTGTGTGTGTGTGTGTGTGTGTGTGTGTGTGTGTGTGCGTGCACGAGTGTTTTCTTTTCTTTTCTTTTTCTTTTTTTTTTTTTTTCTGGGGAGCTGGGCTCATCACCTCGGCAGGACAAGAATAACTAGGTGTCTCAGGATAAAATAGCTAAGCTATTGTCTCACCACGGTGCCACCGTGTGGACAGTCTCCCTCAGGTGCTGCTCCTAGCTCCCTGAGTGGGCCGCCCACCAGTACCTTAAAAAGATACTGTTACTCAGGGCGTTGGTGGTCCACACCTTTAATCCCAGCACTTGGGAGGCAGAGGCAGGCAGATCTCAGTGAGTGAGTTTGAGGCCAGTCTGAAGTCATTAGGATGGCCAGGCCTGCCCTGACCCCAAACCCAGCAGGCTTCAGGCTACTGTGGATGCAGAGTTTGAGGCTAATCTCCTGCCTGGCTCTGAGTCATTTCCTTAAGGAACAAACAGGCAGCCACCTGGAGAGAAACCACTGGGCAAATGCTGTCCAATCTTAAATTCAAGATCCTGCTAAATCCAACCTCTGGTGAAAAGCCGCATCCAGTACCCAGTGAGTCCCCGGGGTAACAGGCCCAAATGCTGGCTGCCTTTTCACTCCTTGGATTTCCCAGCTGTTTTGAGACCAGGCTGGCCTTGAACCTGCGAGCCTGCCTCAAGTGCTGGGCTGTGTAGTGCCACACTTGGCCTGTTTTCTGGTGTCTCAGGATGACTCTTGGGAGTCCGCTGCTGTTTTAGATTGCCTCTTGCCCTGGCAGCTAGAAATCATAGTAAAGGTTCACCTCTTCCTTTTAGACAGCAGCTAGTTGAAAAGCAGACTTCATACAGAGCCTCCCCACCCATGGGTCACACCATCCTGCCTCCCGACCCATGGGTCACAGGGTACCCAGATACTTGACTCTACATAGTCTATAATTTGTTGCTTCAAGGCATGGGTCCCCTTAGCTGTGAGGTAGCTAGAGCATCAGCTTGGTGGCCAACAGCATAAGGTTTACTCCTGTTTGCTTTAAATATAATTATCTTGTTTCTGATTCCTTCCCTCCTCTCCCTCCTGCCCCTTTCATGTCTCCCATTCTGTTCTTTTCTGTCTTTCTGCCCCCTCACCCTCCCATCCCTCCTACCTTGCCATCCTCTTATGCTCAGTCCTTGCCTGTCTTCCCCCCTCCCTCTCTCCTCTCTTCCTTTCTCTTCTTCCTCTTCTCTCTCTCTCCTTCCTCCTCCACCTCTCCCTTCTCCTCTTTTTGGGAAATGGGATTACACTGCAGCCCAGGACAGCATAGAAACCTGACCCTCCTGTCCCAGCCTCCCAGCACTGAGCACCGGTACCAGAGGAGCCACCATGACTGCGTTTCTGTGTTCTTGAGGTCAGTAAGCTTGGGAAGTTATGAGAACAATTCTCTCCAGCATCTGAAGACAGATGTTCCGGCTCATATGTCGATGTGTGTGCTATGTGCACGCCTGATGCCCTTAGAGGTCAGAAGAGGGTGTTGGGTCCCCTGGAACTGGAATTACAAATGGTTGTGAGCCACCGTGTGGGTGCTGGGAACTCTGCCAGGACCTCTGGAAGAACAACAAGTGGTCTTAACCTCTGAGTCATCTCTCCACCCCCATGTTTGTATCTTTTTATAATCTCTTTAAAGCTTGGCTCAGTGGATGACATTTTGCTGTCTGCCTCAGAGGCCGGTGGCTATCACATGACAAGTAGCCTCTGGGAAACTCAGCTGTACACTCAGGAAAGGTCAAAGGGACATCTTCCTAGTGTTCCCACTTAGTCTTGCCCTCATAGGTGTTTCTGAGAATGACTACCGGTCTGTCCTCAGACTGCAACCCAACTGCTTCTCCCATAGAAAGCTCCAGCTGCCTTCTCCCAGGCCAATTGTCCTGTGCATGCTTGGTCTGGTAACTTTGGAAGAAGGTTCAACTCAAAGCACTGATGACATTGGTGGCCACCCTTGTTTATTGAGGGTTTTGTACATGTGGGTGATGTGCCCCGTCATATGACCCTTTGTGAAGAAGGTAAACTGTGTGGGTAAGGCCCAGGCCTCAGAACCGAAACAGCTCACAGAGCATGCTTAACACTATCTTTCCACTAGTTTCTGGAACTCAGGGCTTCCTCAAGGACACTCGGCTTCTCTAATTTCTCCAAATGAAACATACATAAAAATTTCCAACTACATAGTCAACAGCCAAATGGATGGTCCATTTCCTCAAAAAAAAAAAAGGTATTTTTGACTTGGCTGTGAAGAACGCAAACATTTATATTGATAAAATTCAAGTGTGTTATTTGAGCTCATTTATGTTTTGAAAAGTTATAATAGGTTGCTTTCCGGTTAAGAGGCAGGGACCTAAGGCTGGGGGGCCTGAGCTGAGACCACCACCTGGTCTATTTTCTTCATGTATGACCTTAGAAAATTCATCTTGACAATTTTTTGTGCTAACAGAATGCTTGTTTAGTTGAAATACTTCTTAAAAACTTCTTAAAAATCGACCATGAGTCTAGAAACACTGTACTGAAACTTTATATTGATTTTTCAATTCTCAAGGTTATGCATCATTCTGATTTCACACCAAAGGATGCTACTTGGTGCAGGATGGTTGCTCATGTGTAAAGGAGTGTGGAACTGAACATGTTTTCAGTCATCACTTTCCCAAAAAGAGGATTAAGACTCAGGAAGATAACCATCCAGTGGATGTCTTTGCAAAAACCATGCTGAATTCTCCTTTCCATTCCCCTCTTATTTCCCTAGATCCCTTCTCTGTGCCAGGGAAGCTGAGGTATGAGGGATATCATCTGGCGCTCTTGGCATCTGGCCTTGTGGCTGATCCCAAGAGCAGTCTTTTCTCATCTGTGTAATTTAGGGGAAGGGCCTAACAGTAAAGGGCATGCACCAGTGGTGGGTGGCTTTGGAGCAGTCAGAGGGTGAGGGAGGGAATGGGGTAAGGGAGGTGGTGGATGTAAATGGGATCAATGTACCCAATATACAGATATGGAAAGGCACCATGATGATTGGGTTGCCACACACACTCACTGTACAAATGGGAAGCACTAGCAAGGGATGAGGGGGGTCTAGTAGAAGGGATTAGGGGATTACTGCCTGTGCCCTAAGGGCTTTCCCTAACCTATAGCCTGTGGGGAGTTCCCCATCCCCCTACTCACCCTGAAACCCTAGCTCCACCTCTATAAAGCACCCACTGTGCTAACTCACCAATGCCCACAACAATAATCTATTCCAGATAGATACCAAGCACATGTTCATGTTTATTAATGTTACATAATATTCTTAAAAAAGAGTGAACATAAAACAGTGACATCAAAGTCCACAAGTACAATAATAATAGTTATATTAAGTCACAGACAGAACACACAATGGTGAGCTGATGATTTTGATAAATCAATACAGTAACTCAGTTAACAGTATAATTAGAGGAGCTATTCTACAATATTTGGAAATACTTTGTTCTCTTAAATAAACATTTACCCTTTCTACTTTTTTATTTGCTTAAAATTCCAACATACATTTCCAATCAGGAAAAACACATATTTCAAATTAATTTTCAAATCACTTTGTCAAAGCCATGAAGATTTTTATATGTTTATTAGTCACTGTGGCAACATGCTTTTAAAATAATTTAATTAACTCAGGAAAAACACAGGATAATTTTCCTACATTTCAATCTCAATTTCATTTTCTTCCATTTTTTTTAAACCAGACTGACCTATATATCTCTTAAAATTGGATTTCGGTAAAACTTTTTGTGTTTTCTTGCTTTCTAAAAAATGTGGTTTTGTTTTGATGTTGTTAGCCCTAGATGGCCTAAAAGTCATCATGTAGACTAGGCTAGCCTGAACTCAACAGAGATCTGCCTACCTCTGCCTCCTAAGAGCTGGGATTAAAGGTGTGTGCCAAAACACCTGGCTGATTTGGGTAAATTTCAATAAAACATTTGTAAATAAATAGTGTCTAAATATTGTGGACTTGGCTTATTTCTTAAAAATATACATCTTAAACTGTGTTTTAATCTACAGCTACTGAAGCAGAAACTCAGATCTCCAAAGCTGTTTAGCTGTTAGGCCTTGCTTATTGGCCACGTCAGCTATCTGCTTTGCTTAGGTAAAGGCAGGACTCAGTTTACGTCCTGCAGTCTGTCAGTCTGCAGGTCCAGTATCCACCAGAGTGCCCAGGGCACATGGGTGTGTCTGCGCAAGAGCCAGCCTTGCAGGACAGCTACTGGATATAAACACACCTTTCTCTATTCCTCAGATATGCAGACGACTTTTGTAGTTATTCCCTCCCAGGATGGCATATCCTATCTTGCCAGTTCCAAACAGATACAGTCCACTCTCAGCTAATGGGATGCCTAGGAAGGAGGAGTGGGCCTGGTGGTCTCCGCCTCTGCTCTCTGGGAGACACAGCTGGATAAGTGTATCTGCAGTTCAGAGGCTCCCATGGAGATGGCTGTGCCTAGTTATCACATCGGGCTTGGCTGCTTGGTAAGGTTTCTTATGATCCCGTCGAGTCTTATGCTCAGTCTTGATCCATGTATTCAGTATGTAAATTGCAAAAATGATACCCCATATCAAAACGGGCTTTCCAACTGCTTTGGCAATTTTTCAAGATGGCACTATATCTTCCCCTATGCAGATAATACTGTTGCACCTTTCTATTGCTTAAACATTACCATCTAATAATGGAAAATACATTTATGGGCAAAGCTGTGTTAAGTCTAAACTATGGACTCCTTCCCTATCATTAGACACCTTCAGCTGCTCAGTATTAACATCCACCAAAACAGACTTAGTTTATTAACTCAGAGAATCCAATTATTTCCATAGCTAGGGAATAAACAAGAAAGTGTGAAAGCATTGATCCCATACTGCATTGCAAATATGTATGTGCATATCACCTATACATTTAAGTCACCCAAATATACAAGGAGTGACAGATGGTTGCTATTGCAGCACTGCAACATTGGAAATCTCTCTCTGGTTCCCATTACCGTTCTGGTAATTATGCTTGACACAGCACTTGTAAGAAGCAGGCATGCAAATAAGTCATGGGTTGTGAAGTAAATATAGTTCTTGACAGAGACTAACAGAATCCCGGGCTGTCCACTTTTCCACCCTTTTCTCTGTGACTTTCCAGCACTCCTTCTCCCCTAAGCTAATAGTTTTTTGTATAGGCTGTTATTCAGGTGACTAGAGCAGGTATCCATTTTACTCGGCATCAGCTGGCCGGTGCTGTTGTTGTAACTGTTGGGATCGGAGCTTTCTTTGCAGCGCAAGATGCTGTAGAGGTGCCTCTGGCACTCGGAGGAGGCGTAGTAGTAGATCAAGGGATCGATGCAGCAGCTCACACTGCTCACACAGACGCAGAGGAGGTAAGCAAAGTAGGCCGTCTCTGTGGCAGGGCTGTCAGAGAGGAGCAGGTAGTGCATGATCAGGAGGATGTTGGTGGGTCCAAAGCAGACGATGAAGACGCAGAACACAGCAGCGGACAGGAACAACGCCCGAGACTTCTTGCTCCGGTTGGTAACTGCGGAGGAGCTAAGACACCGAATGATGGACATGTAGCAGATCGTGGAAATGATCAGTGGTACAAGAAAGAAGACAGCAGAGAAGGCAGAGAAGTAGTAGGAGTAAAAGCCTTGCAGCAGAGTCTCATTGAGGACATCGTGGCAGGTGGTGATGTTGAGCTCAGGAACCAGGGTGGTCTGCTCCTTGAGGAGAAGAGGTACCACCCCCATGACGGCCATCACCCAAATGACCAGGCAGGTGAAGTTAGCTCTGCCCAGAGTGCGCCAGGACAGGGACTGGATGGGGTACACGACTGCCAGGAAGCGGTCAATGCTTATGACAGTCATGAGCATGATGGAGGCATACATGTTACAATAAAATGCTGCAGTGGCAAAGCGACACATTCCAGACCCAAACTGCCAATCACTGTTGGAAAAGTAGTAGCTGATCTTCAAGGGGAGCACGGACACAAAGAGCACGTCAGCCATGGCCAGGTGCAGCATGTACACCACGGCCGGCTTCTTGACCTTCATCTTCAAGACAAACACCACGATGGCCAGGATGTTCAGAGGAAGGCTGACTACAAACACAAAGGTGTAGACCGAGGGGATGAAAAGCCTCAGCCAGGAGCTGGTCAGATAGCCCGAGGCATCTTCCGAGATGAAGGGCGCAGGTGCTGCGGGAGGAGAGAGGCTTTTATTTAAGTAGATTGCCCTGCCCTCAGGCAAGGCGCTTTCATTTTTCTCCTCCTCATCCCCCAGGGGGACCAGTTCAAATGTATTTTCACTGGGATTCCTGAGAAAAAATGACCGGGGGTTCATAGTGGCATCAGTCATGTCAGACTCTGAAAAAGAAAACATGGGAAAAGTGAGTGAGATGCACAGGCAAAGGAGGCAAGCGGAGGGGACGTCGGTCTGCTTTTTGCCGCTTTCCCTGGGGAACAGATGCTTGGGTTCAGGTCATGCACAGGTGGACTATGGACTTTGTTAGCGAAGTTGCTCCTATCTTAGAGTATGGTGCAACGCTCAGCTTGGATACAAGCCAACCGCTAATACTCTGTTCCTCCGGAAGACAAAGGTAAATGAATAACCACCCAGATTGATCACAGACCTCACTTGCCATGAAAGATCAAACAGCACTTTCCTTCGCATTTTATGTATTTTATTTTGTGTGGTAGGAGAGTGCAGGCATGCCACAGGCAGAGGGGTAGTTGATTTTCTCCTTCTACCAAGAGGACCCAGAGGATTGAACTCTGGCAGTCAGTGCTCTTATCCACTGAGCCATTTTGCCAGTCCTCAAACGGTGATTTCTTCCTTGTTCTATACCTTACCATCTGTACATACAGATCCCCTCTAGCTTCAATCATTTCTCTTTCCTTCCACGGCTAGTTTGAACCATCCTAAGAAACCCACTTCTCCCAAAAGGAGAATCCATATAGAACGAGGAGAGAAGTTCCTACACGCCACAGAATGGGGGCCATTCAGAGTAGGACCCAGGGCTCCCCAACTTGACAACCAAGATCCACAAGGCAGTAGTTTCCCTCTATCTTCAGTTTGCTTACAAAATAGATGCCCCAAATGTTGTTCCTATCTGGGTCCAGAGGCCCTCTGGTTACTTCACACAACCAGGCAGTACCTGTCACCTCAGTCATCACCATGCCATTCCCCCTTGTCCAGGCTAGCAGCAGATACGCTCAGCCACTTACAATAGGCCATGACATTATTCTAGAACACTATATGCCTCAAGGTACACACCTGGCCAACCAGGCTCTTTGAAGTATCAACCAGATGACAAAACAAAAGCTCGTCCTTATATACACCTCCTTATCCCAGTCATCCATCAAAATTACACATTTGAAATGTTGAATGTCAGAGAAAAAAAGTCAGACAGCAGGCTTTTCCTTGCAAAGAGCTTTGATGAAATCCTAGATCTGTCGGATGCTGGGGAGCAGAGAAGTGTGAACAGGGACTACAGGGGTATGGGACCAGGTCTCTGATGCTTGGGGGTGCTGGTGGCAGAGGTTGGATATGCCTCTCAGAGATGTTGCAGGGAGTTAAACCTTAAAACTGGACAAGTGCAGTAGGTTTTCAGACTTGGTTTTGTTTTCTTTAGTGGTACCTGTAGACAGACTTTTCTTTGAGCCACCAACTCACCAAAAAAAAAAAAAAAAAAAAAAAAAAAAAAAAGACACAGAGACTTATTATTAATTATAAAAGATTGGCCTATAGCTTAGGCTAGCTCCAATAGCTCTTATAACCTAGATCAACCCATTTCTATTCATCAACACGTTACCAGTGACTCATGGTTTTTTACCTCCCCTCCTGCATGTCTTGCTCCCTTAACATTCAGCTGGCAACTCCTCCTTTCTTATTCCCAGAGTTGTCTGTCCCCAGAAGTCCTGCCTAACACCTTCCTGCCTAGCTAATGGTCATTCAGCTCTTTATAAGCCAGTCACAGTGATAGCTCTTCACACGTGTAAAGGACTATTCCACAACAGGAACGTTCTTGAAAACACACACTTTCAGAGGGGCACAATGTAATGCAGTGGTGAGTTCTCCTTCTGCACAGAATTAAACTACAGGCTCCGCTGTACCTCCCTGCCACACGCATCAATGACTCAGGTACTCAGGATGACAGGACTGATAGGGAGGGTTGGTCTTTGAGGAAAGGATGGTATCAGCTTTCTCTCCCCAACTCCCATTGAGTTTTAGTTTGAGAGAGATCCAAAGTGTCTGTGATAACCTGGAATACTTACTTGTCCTTTGCCCCATTTTCTGGCATATAGGATCTTGAGATTCTTGTAATCTCCAGGGTAAGAATATCTTTTGTATGCTAATGAGCTGACTGCTGGATAGTGGCCTCTAGATAGCTTCAGGACCAAGGATGGTCACATGAAAGCCCAAAGCATGACTGGAAGGGAGCTTCTGCCCATTCCTGCACATCTTGCCCTGTGTCTTTTTCCCACCTGCCATTCATTGGCATCTTCTGTAATATCATTTATGATCAATGGGAAGAATAGGTGAACTTATTCTCTGGGTTCCTTGAGCTAGCTGCTCAAGGAACTCACGTAGACATCATGGGAGCCCCAAAACACAACCTGTTTGGTCAGAGTTCTGGAGGTCCAGGCCCAGGGACCTGAGGTTTGAGACAGACCTCAGATATGGGGCTGAGCCTTTACCGTGACCTCTGATTCTGTGTCCAGGTAGATGATGTCAGAATAAATTAGATGAGAGGATTCATGGCTGGTGTTCCCTGGAGAATCTGCCAGAGGCTAGAGGAGGTGGAGTGAGGGGAAACAGCCTTGATCCCTTAGGGCTCACTTAGTGAAGTATTGCATTGACAATAGGGAAGGCACTTTGATGTTCACTGTTCTAATAGCTGATTGATGGGACAGCAGGTAGGAAATTCCCAGGCAGTTTGGGGGACAACGCATCATCTTTAGTCCTTGGCGGCCAGAGCTGGAAGTGTCCTTGTTTCAGGCCACACATGTCTGAAGTGTTTAGGGCATCTGTCCCTGGTCTGGATTCTTGCAATCTTTCTCTTTTTACACAGATGCCTAGAAGTTATGCATGAAAGTGTGACCAAACCTTCAGTCCATGGCATGACTTCTGGTGAAGAACTTTGGGACTGATGTTGGAGTGTAAAAATGGGTTTTACCTAGTATAACCCTGGCAGTGATCTCCTAAGCTCTAGCTCTTGTGTACTCAACTGCTGCCTTAATTTCCTTTACAGCCTGATACTCACATGGCCCTCCTGCACTCTAACGCTATTAGGAGCGGGGATTCTAAACCCTTATAAATCCTAATCCCAGCCCATCTCCTGAAAGATCTCAAGAGGGGGGTGTCAGGTAGTTAGATAGGGATTAGTCACCTTGGAAGACACCTAGAACGGACTCCTTGATGATAATCAATTTTGGACCCCACCTCCCTTTTCCTGGATAGCACTAGAAAGGAAAACATCCCAATTACTCTCCCTCCCCACCCCCACACTGCCAAAATTAAAACACTATATAAAAAAAGGTGCAGCTGTCAGGGATTTGCTGAAGTCCATTAAGAAAAGTTACTGTTTCCTGGTAAAAAGAATGGGATCCGAGTTCTCCCTCTGGCTCTCAATGGAGACGACATCCTGACCTGCTCCTAAAATGAGAAGATGTCTCACTATCATCTCCTCCCTGAAGAGTTAATCCATTGTGTCTGTTCATCACCAGGAGGTCAAGAGACCACTTCCCTGGAAAGCTGAGAGACAGCTAAGGAGATGGGAGGAATAATTACCTCTTTTGTGAGATGGTATACTTACCCTTCCCCAAAGCCCTCCCTGATGCCTTATTGTGAAGGAGGAATTAGAATTTCTGCTGTGCATTGGTGCAGATATTAGAGCTTCTACTAAGCAGTGATGCAGCCATTTACACAGCTCTGCTATGCAGCGGTGCAGACATTAGAGCTTCTACTAAGCAGTGATGCAGCCATTTACACAGCTCTGCTATGCAGCGGTGCAGACATTAGAGCTTCTACTAAGCAGTGGTGCAGCCATTTACAGAGTTTCTGCTATGCAGCATCACTGCACCTACCCACTTTTCTGAGTTCTAACTCAAAATGCAATTTTTCCTTTCCTTCTGTCTCTTTTTGTGGCTACCAGCCAAAAGCCTAATCAGGCTTTCTGACTCTCTGGGCTTTCTCATTTAGTCTCCAAAGTTTACTGCATCCTCTAACCCCTAGCAAATAAATACAAAGGAGGAGGTCGGTCACAAGTTCCATAGTCACTGGGAAAGAATTTCAGGAAGGAAAGTCTTAGGAAAGGAGTCCAAATTCCAGTGCAAATTCTGCTGTAGGCTTGCATTTCTTTTTGGAGACAGAGTCACACTTTATAGCCTTGTCTGGCTTGGAACTTGATGTCCAGACCAGACTGGCCCCAAACTCATAGAAATTTACCTGCCTCTTGTCTTCTAAGTACTGGGACTAAAGGCATTATGACACCACACCCAGCCTCTGTTCACAGTTTTGGGTCACACTTATAAGGTAGATATAAATTATCTCTGCTAAAGATAGACAAAAAACAAAACTCCCAAACCACCGCCAAGTGGAGGAAAACAAACCAAAACAACAACAACCTGGAATAACATTTACATTAACTATTGCTAATGGGAAGCACCAATTGCCAATGCTCTGAGAAGGAATATAACGGAATCCAGAGTCTTCACAGCACTAGACCAAGCACACAATCACAAATGATCCAATATAACAAGAACTGAGAGGCCAGGCTTCAAGGTCAGTGACAGAACATTTGTCTAGCATGTAGAAGGCCCGGGGTTTAATCCCTTGCACCAATAATAATAATTACAAAAAAATATAACTGGGCAGCCAGGCACTGTGGCAGATACATGTAATGCCAGCACTTGGGAGACTGAACCAGGAGAACTGAAAATTTCAGGCCAACCTGGGCTGCTATATAAGTCATCCTGGCTACAAAGTGAGACCTTGTTTCAAAAAAACCAAGAAGATGGAGGAAAATGCAAGGGATAAAAAGAACTGGGAGGTTCTATTAGCTCTAATCTAATCTAATCTTTTAGATAAAATGAACTTGGCCTGAAGGGACTGCTCAGCCATTAAGATCACTGGCTGCTCTGGCTCTGCCAGAGGTCCGGGGGTTCAAGTCTCAGCATCTGACCACTACCATCTTTAGCTCTACTTCCAGGCATCCCAGCATCCTCTTCTGGCCTCCACAGGCACTATACACACGTACTACACAGACATACACGCAGGCAAGACAGCCATATATGTACAATATGGATAAAGTAAGAACCCTTTTCTGTAGTGGCATCTTGCTTCACCAGTGAACTTGCAGTGG